CAGAATTTTCAAACTCCGCACACCTCCTGAAAGGTGAAGAGGCAGTAATGCCCAGGGCTGTCTGGTATGATAATATGCCGTTCCTATCTTGTGTCTTCTTGTTTCTAAATTCCACAGTGGACTTTCTCCTCCCCACCATGGTGCCGTTGGCCTCCAATGATTGGTATCGGGCCTGGGACCCGAGCTTGGCCCATGTGTTGGGAGATAATGGGTTTGCGGGTTCAGTGAGGCTTTGTGTATTCGTCTGTACCTCTTTGCCCTGGGGATTGCTGCTTCTTTGCTTTACTGACAGCCTACCTCTTTGCAGGGCATATATCTGGGTAGTGCTTTTTTTTTTCTGTCTGCCCTATGCAGCTTTGGTCTCCCTATGGGATTTGGCTCTTTAATGTTAAAAACCAAATCAGCACAAACAACAGTTTAACCTGCAAGGATCAAGTAGCACTGAAAAAGTAGATACTTTTGGTTCAATTCAAGGCTTGATGGGGGGTGGGGGGTGGCTGAAAATGTGCTGCTAAAAAAACAGCAGCACATGTGATCTTTATTTTTTATTTCTATAATTTTTTTTTACCATTCTAAATGCACAAACTTGCACTAAAGAAGCAATAACCATTCAGTATATTTGCTGAGTGTTTTCATGTCAGTAAGGTATCAGCTTCACACAGCTGAAGCTCCTCCAATGTGATGATGTGGTCCAGGGTTTAATTATTTTGCATCTGAAATGCAGAACGGTGAAATCACAGTGGACATTGCTCTTGGTCTAAACGCACCTTCGGAATTTTAATTTTGGTTTTCAAATCTGAGAGATGACAATCCCATTGCGCTAACTATATTTAAGATTAAATTATAGGTTGTTTATCCAGTCCGTATTATACATTCCTGTTGTGCCTTTTAGGAGTTGTTTAGTAACTCCTGACTTTCCAGTAATCACTGTAGATATTTCCTAAATCTAAACATAGAAATATATTTTTTTTGTATGGTCAGTTTATTCATAAAATTCAAATAATCCAGTTTGTAACATTTGGTCCAAATTTGGCACAATTGTACCAAATGGACCTTTTACATACAGAAAGCGTCATAGTTTCACAATGCTTATGACTAGAGATCTGAAATATTACACAGTTGATGTCAAAAACATGAAGAAGTGCAGTAAGTGGGAGTATTCTACTATGAATTATAAAAAAAATGATATAACATAATAAAAATAGCATTCTTTTATTCAAGGGGAAAAATGTTTTTTTGGACACGTTTGAAGTCACAAAGCTCTGGTTTGTATCAAACCTACCGAGTGTGTACACATATCTCCAGGAACTAGAAGGTATACCTTTCAAATGAGATACATCCCTGATTTTTGGTATGCAATACTTTTGTGCACAAGCTATGTAAATGTGGGGTTTAAGGGTTAAATATGTAATCAGAGATGACCATATTTATGGATTTTAATTTTTTTTCTTTTTTAAGCACAATTCAAAATGGGAAAACAAATATGAATCTCTATTGTTAAATACCGAAGAAGCTACCAGTCTAAACTGTGGTGCAAAAAAAAAAATATTTACTGTAGTCAGTGACTGATTGTACAATTGATCAAGACAACAAAGTAGGCCTTTAAAAAGATCTTATACAGAATTTATACCTGGTGAATGTTAAACTATGTCACTTGAGGACTTCTGGATAAAGCATATTGATTACAAAAAAGGTTTTTCATTTTAAACGCAATACGTTTACAGATGTTTTACAAATTTGGTATTTTCTGTTTTGAGCTCAGTACAGTGTTATATTTTAGAGTCTCAACTCAAAGTAAAGATTAATTTCTAAATTAGTTGATTATTTCAGTAATCGATCACAGTTAAGGGGGCTGTTGAAAGTATTAACTGCATGTTTCATTTAATGTGTCTTCAAGGTAATTATGTTAAATTTTTTTGTTAATTATACTTAACCTATATGTAGTTTATTATAGTTTGTTTTTTTAAAGATCACTGCGTCGATTGAGTTTTAACATCACAGCTATTAAATGTGTATGTTTTATAACAATTGTGCATTCGGAGACTATCCACTTGGAAAAAGATATCTCGCCGAGCGTAAAAACATTGCAAAGATTGACATTGAGTAATTTAAGTTTTATTTACATGCAGCTCTAAAGGTAACTGTCCTTTTGAAATGCATTTGTGGAAAAACAAACGGTGTATATGGTAAATGCAATTGCTTTGTGTTTTTAAATAAAACCAACTTCAGTAATTCAACTCCCTTTTTTATTTCTGTTTTTGTGCCAGAATAAGTAATCTCAAGGCACTTTAAAACATAACCATGTCCTTTTTATTTCCACTCATATTTGATTATAGACTGAAATCCTCGCCAATAAAGCCTAATTATAGACATATTCAGATTTAATCGCCTTACAAATGTAACAAAGTATAGTCATATTCGGTGCTGTCATTGAAAAAGAGTTTTCTAAAGAAGCTAATAAAACTTCTGTTATATATTACATTTACATTAATCCTTCCTCCTGAGCTTGCTCAGTTTTTTTTTTTAAACAGTCACAAATGGAACTGAATGGTAGGAGTCTAGAGAAAGGCCTCTCAGAGTGTTGATCCACTGCTGTTGGATGCTTGGAAGCAAAATTAACTTTTTGCCTTAATAGCTGCCTCTGTCATTTCTAATGTTTGAGTTTCAGTTAGGTTTTTCAAAGTATAATATACATCGACAGAATGCTCAGCGACTATCACTCGTGGTTTAGAGTCTGTTCTTTACCCCTTTTCCAGGACAACAGACATGTCTTGAGGTTGTTCCCTGTCTTACTGGGTGTCAATGACTGCTTGAAGTCTGACTGGCATCCCAAGGCACTTGAGGTCTATTTTAAGAGCATGCGTCCCTGGAGGTAGACAAAGATTTATTTGTTTTTCAGGCCCACTTGACTGTTACAAATTCATGAAACACCTTTTCAGTAAAAGCACAGAGTTGGCTTTGAAAGCCCTCCTGCTGTCTACTGGTAAATATCAGCTACTAATTAGTGCCTGTTTATATCTTTCACGGCTTCATCTTTTGGAAGATAGCCGGCCCGTTCTGGTACTGATTTTCTGCCTTTTACCAATCGATGTACAGCACTGCTGCTGTCTTCGCTCTCCCTCACTTCTCCATCTGAGAGTTTCTGTAACAAATAATGCTGGAAATCATTGGGGAACTTTTCATGTACGTGTAAAAATTGTGGGAGGACAATCTATCCAAAAACATGTTTTAGTTTCAAGTGCTTACAAGTTCCACATAAATTTCCCCCTTCTCATTTTAGTTTTTTTTGTTTCTTCAACCAAAACACTTTCTTTATCCCTTACCTCTGAATTTAAGAATTGCAGGATTGGGAAAACGTCTTTTAGATGTCTTCTTAATGTTTCATTCAAAGTGAATATTCTAAGTAACTTTAAGTGATTAGCTGAGCTCAGGCTGTATAAAACATGTTCCAAAAACATATTTAACGATGCAAAGGCTACTAAAGATTTGGTCGTATTATTTATTTTCTAAAGGTGGAAAGTAACTATCTAAAATCATAAATTAGATCTCATAATAAATTAATGGAAATCTTTTATAGATGTAGAACTGTTAAGGCATTTCTTTTTCATCCATTTGAAATAAAAACCACCTCAGAGCTCATCTGCGTAACTGTTTCTTTCACAGGGAATCACATAGACTATAAAGCTAGATTGCTGTTACCCTCTCTAACATTGAAACATTGAACATTGTTTTTGTGTCTCTTCTTCAGTCTTCTGGAACAGTCAGTCAGTCTAGGCGAACGGTCTGTCACGCTGAGCCTGGTTCTGCTGCAGATTTTTTCCGTTAAAAGGGTGTTTTTTCTGTCCACTGTTACTGCATGTATGCTTTTTAAACAGCATCCAAAAATTGCGTGCTTCATTGGAGTTTGGGGGCTAATTACAAAAGATTAAGATTTGAAACTAAAAGTGAAGGTTTAGAAAATCTTTTCAGTATTTAAAGCTTTTAAGTCATTTTAGCCGTAGAATTTCATTAAAAACATAGATTTTCATGAAATACATACATTGTTTAAGCTTTTTTATTCCATTTCAGTATAATTTCCTTGAATAACTAAACTTCTTGGTTGAATGCATATTACTTTTAATCTAATATCAAAATAATGTAAACATAGTTAAATCTGAGCTTTGGTTAAAGTCGATCTTTGCTTTTAATTTTGCATGGGCTCTCTATACAAGGTTGAAGTTGGCCTTTAGTTTGATTTTGCAAGTGGTTGTTTGTTTCTGCGTAGCCTTTTAATGACACGGTGGGTGAGTTTTTATTTTGCTACTTTAAAGTTAATCTTAGAAATACCAAGGTGTTCCTGCCATTTTACTTTTTTGCGTTTCATTTTGAAAACTAATGTTTAACCTTTTGCTTGGAGTATTAATATAGAAAAAATTATAATAAAAGGTTACAATTACTTTAACCTAAAAGCTGTAAAAACATATATTTTTTATTATTAGAAATTAGACATATCCAGTAAAGTTTTCCAAAAGGGTTTTACTCTTTGTTTGGCTCATCTAAAGCAGCAAGTTATTGTTTTATTCCCCTTATGCAGCCCGGAACTACAATAGATACAAAAAGCAAAACAAAATAATATATAAATATCTTTCAGAACAGAATTTTTCTTTGATGTTAGACAGCCTGCATTTCTACAGACAATGTTTAATAGGTAGTTAGTACTAGTTAACTACTGTTAAAGAGCCTTGCCTTAGGCTCAAGTTGATTTTATTTAAAACTCTCATTAATTGTGTGTGGCTAATGCTGGACAAACCCACAATGACCCACTAATTTGATTTTCCGTAAAGCTGTCATGTCTGCGAGGAATCATTTGACACACTTTCATAAAACGTTTCCTCAATCGCATGTGTCTTGACCCTCACTTTCTTTTTAGGCTTTTTTTCCACTCATAGCTGCTTGTTTTTTCTCCCTTACAGTAAGTTCTTTCTGCACATTTCTGATAATGACTCATGTTTGTTTTTCAGTGTGCATTCATCTGGTAAGGGAAGACGGGAAGAAACGGATCAGCTTCAAGATCCTGTAAGTTTGCTCTTTGATAACGATCAAATCAATTTTGTATTATATTATAATCTATTTATGAAGCAATCAGAAAATGCCTTTTTCATTATTTGGTATGAAACAAAAAAATTTAAAAGCCTAATTTATAGTATTTACAGAACATGACCTCTTACAGTCTGTTTCCCATGACGCATTCACATAAAATCAATCAAATCGGTAGATCCAACAGGGAGTCAGGATGCTTGATGGCCTCTGTTCTCATTTGGGATGCAGACATTGTCCTGTTGCTTCCTTTAATGAGATCTGGAGGCGTGCAATCTAATATTCACCAGTGAGGCTCCAACATGGCCCCTGAGCCTGTAGCCAAGAAAACTGTGTGTTAATTCAATGGAGTGAAGTCAGCTGTGATCAGAGCGACTGAAGTGGCCATTCACTCCGGAGGCTGAGAGGCACTGACTTTGTTTAAAACATGATGCAAAAATACTTTGTGGCTTTGTTTATGCCTTGTTTGGTAGGTTGGAGTTTTGCATAAATATTTCAGTAAATATTCACAAAGAGCTGCTTTGGGGCTGAACAAGCACAGGTGTGGGATCAAAGGTACGACAAGTCTGGCTATGAATAACGAATATAAACATTTTCATGATGGAGAGAGCTTCGATAAAACTGAGTCATAACACTTCTTCTAAATCAGAGTCATATGGAAGCTTCAGTAATTTCAAACTAAAACGATGTGTATTGCTTGATGTCTTTCAAATATTTTGAAGCATACTTTAATACATGTTATAGTCATTTTTTAACTGATCAAGAAAACATATCCTATTATTACAGTATATTAAAGGATTCTGATCTACACTGCTTTTGCATTTGGGGATGACAACTTTTACCCATAACTCTTTGTAGAGAAGCTAAAATGTATTGGCTCAGAATGATTATCAATGTCAGTTTTAAAATCATGCCCAAACTTGATTGGGATGGGGTGTGGATTTGGACTAGGTTAGATGAAACCGTTGATTTTGATTTCTGGTACTTTATAGCTCCAGTCTTTTAGAGGTATTGTTCTGCTGATCATGTTTTTTTTTTTTTTAAGAATTTATTCTGGTTTAAAATCTATTAATTTGCTTGTGAGTTCTGACAAGTTGTTTGTTGCAGTTTAACGATTCATATGTCTTTATACCTAAAGATTAAAGGCCAGATTTGCAGAATGAACAACTAACAGTTTTCCTTTCATTAAATGGTCTAATTTTAGTAGTGGGTTAGAACCACACATGGACCTAAAGGCTACTTCTCTGAATGATTGCTCTCCTTAAAAACGTCATTTTAGGTTAATGCTCCTATCATAGCTTAGCCGTTTTCTCAAATTTGGGTTAATGGGTGTGGTAGTGCTCTCCAAAACTTTAAACATTCAGAAATTTAATTCAAGCTTTATCTGTTGTCTTTATGATTCTGGTTAGACCAGGCATCCCCAAAGTCGGTCCTCGAGGGCTGCTGTCCTGCAGGTTTTAGAGGTTTCCCTGCTTCAGCACAGCTGATTTACATTGATAGCTGATTAACAGGCTTTTGCTGAACTGCAATCATCAGAATCAGCTGTGGGGATGCCTGGGTTAGACACACATTCTCTCAGAAACCTCAAATAATAAATATCACAAAAGATGGACTCTATTTACTGATTACATGTTTTCTGAATGCAATCTGTTGCTGTGGATTACATTACATACATTAGGCTAAATCAACATCAGTTGTCTATTATTTTATAATCTATGAAGCAATCAGCAAATGGCTTTTTCATTATTTGGTAATTAACAAAAAAATGAAAAAGCCTAATTATAGTATTTATAGAATGTGACCTCTTACAGTCTGTTTCCCATGACGCATTCACATAAAATCAATCAAATCAGTAGATCCTACAGCGAATAAAAGGATTTTCATATATATTTATAGATATACAGCACTTTTTAGAATTTTAACATTTTTAATAGATTCTGAAAACCATTACAATAAAATCAATACTAGTTTGTGGATGTAACATTCAAGAACGTGGGGAAAAAAAAGATAAAAGGGTATTTGAATTCTGATATTTAACAGGTGAATGTCATACATGTCTGAGTAATGACCTTTTAAGAATACATTTACCTAATTTAAAACACCTGAACATGTTTTTTTTTTTTTTTTTTTTTACTTCAACCAAATAGTGTCTGTTGTTGGCTGTTTGCACCAAGGCATCTGAACACATTCTTCATTCTGTTGAATTCTAATGCATCCATAATCACTAAAATGAGTAAAAGAAAAAAAGATTTTGTAATAGTAATGTTGCTTTTTTTTTCTAGCATTATATAATTATTTGAAGTGCCCCCGAAAACGAGTTGGATCATTACCTCCCAAATAGGGTAGTGTTTAATGGTGCTGGTGAAAGATGATTTCAGTTTGTTTTTGCTCAGTTAATGCACAAGAGTGAAAATAACCCATATTACAGTAAGTACCGGTACAGATCATTTTAACCCACTAAGCCAAACTGAGCCCTCAGAGCAGTAATATTAACATTAACTAAAACAATAACAATGACAAGTTATTAGCCTTGACAAAATAGAGAATCCTAATCTATGTTTGTGGATCAATTTTAAGTTCAACTTTTTTTTTAATGCCTTAGATAACTGAGCTTGAGAATTAGGTTTAAGTAATTTACATTTTCTAAAAAAAAAAAAAACAAGCACTAATAAAACAACAACTAAGGAATCAGATGTTACAATGTTTAACATCACTGTATATTTATTGCATATCCTGCAACATTCTCCTTCCTTACATAAAGACAGTTGATCATATTTCAAGCTCCTTCTATCTAATTTTTACATACAATATTGAAAATCATTTCAATAAAACAAAAAAACTGATGGTTTCAACATAATTTGAAAAAATAATAAAACCTACTCCTGATTTGTTGGGATGCAGAATAAAGCGATCTAGACGCTATCAGTAATGGATTCTGGTACTTTGGGCTCTCTTATGTGTTGAATATGCTTATTGTGGCATTACTGAGATAAAGGAGTTTGCTTAATAAGTTATTTCCTTACTTTGAAGTCATAATCCAATTTTCTTTTAAATATCTTCAATTAGTCTCCGTTCTCCATGGCTACAGACAGAAGTAATAATATGCCCTTGATTCTACTCATTATAAGGATAAATTAATCAAAGGAAAATATTTCTGACTTAACAGAACACTTTTGAAATGTGCTGATATAACCAACTACCTTGGGGGTATTTAGAAGTGAAACAGCAATTTCTCTTTTGCTGCTGATGATCCTTAAATCTGTCTTGGTTGTCAACAGTGATTGATACAGTTTGCACTTCCCACCTCCACTCAGCTGTTTTCTACTGTTTACACTTCATAGCTTATCACACTTCCAGAGACGTTTCAGCCTACTTCCATTAGCAGACTAATTAATCATCATTCATGCTTTATGATAAGGTTGAACTCTTTGCTAGAGGAAAGTAACAGTCCATAGAGTGTTGTGAAAAATGCTTGGTCTCAAGTGAGAATTCAGATTCAGAGTTTGAATATGTGGTCCGACAAATGATCTGTGACTGATTTGAGTCCAACTGACCACCCCCTAGATCACGGTACAATGTCGCAATACAGAAAAGACATACTCTGTGGTGAGGCAAAAGTTCTATTAATATGCTCAAATAGAAATGTAGAAATCGACATCAGTACATGGCATATTTCTATACAATACTGTTAGCTGTATAAATATATATTTTTGTACATCTGTCCTACCAACAGAGCCAAGGTCCTTCATGCTGGAAGTATCCTCTTTTTTTATTTCGCCCTCTGGGGCGTTTTTCCTACTCTAAATTCTTTTATATTAAATTAACCACCTAAGTTATTGAAATAGGATTCAGATAAACATCTTTAATGGTGGAGTTATATTTAAGGTCAGAGTTATCCAATAAGGCTTTCGAAAATATGTCAAGACAGAAACGTAACTAAACTATATACTAATGCTTCACTGGAAATGTTTATTTTTTGTGTTTAATAATCTTAGAAAAAGTCCAATAAGTCAAATTGGATGGAAGGTAAATGTTAGATATTCTTTTCCATTCTGTTGTTTTCAAGAACATGGTGGACCTCCGTCAGCCACATTCTCTTTCAGCGATTATCTCATCATTGTCAGTGCAAAATTAAGCTTTGTGTTCAACTATGTTTCCTTTTCAGGGGGGAGATGAGAGAATTATTTTCCCCCATTTCAATCTCACTTAGCTGCTGTTTCATTTCCTGCCTTGTTCATTAAATCAAATCGTAGCCTGTCATCTGATAATACTGCAGTGACATCAGGCCTGGGAAAAATTCGCTTGAATTAAAAATAGCTTGAATTATTTCGTTTGGAAATGAAAAATGATTTTTAGTTGATATGCATTTTCTGAAAGTTGTCTTTAATACAAAGCTATTTTTTTTATCAACACCAAAAATTTTTTTTATTAGTCAACGCTTTAAATCAGGCATCCCCAAACTCGGTCCTCGAGGGCCGCTGTCCTGCAGGCTTTAGAGGTTTCCTTGTTCCAGCACAGCTGATTTTAATTGAAAGCTGATTAACAGGCTTCAGCTCTACTGCAATCATGATAATCAGCTGTGCTAAAGCAGGGAAACCTCTAAAACCTGCAGGACAGCGGCCCTCGAGGACTGAGTTTGGGGATGCCTGCTTTAAATAATACAATGGAAAGCACTCCTAAAAAAATTTAAATTTTTGCTGACATAAGGCCACTTAAGTTTCAATGTTTTTATAGTATTCTTACCCTAGTAAACTAGCCTCACCCACCAATGGCCAAAATCATTTTTGCCTGCAAGTTTGGTCTAGCCTTGATCAATGCCCCAGGCCCTAGAACTAAAGGGCCAATCACAACGCAGAGAAAAAGTGGGCGGGGTTTTGAGGCTGTGATTCTGAGTGACGCTGGAGAAAGCACAACAAGGAAGATGGTAACAACTATTGAACAGTTCTCTTTGACTCAGCTTTGGAATCAGTTTTGGAAGG